CTCATTATCTTAATAATCAGCATTGTGCCATTTGAAATATATTCACTCATTAATTTACTATTTTATTGATTTCATTTTCTTCAACAGACTAAGTTCCCAGAGACCAGAAATCATGGCTTGTATTTTCTGTGTTCAAAACATGCATAGCATGTAGCTTGTTCTATAAACAAGTTGAATTCAATTTATTATAATATGTTTGTTGTGACTTTATCTCCTACAGTTATATGTTTTTCATAACTGTCTCTAATAATGTATAATAAATAAAGGCCTACATGGTTTCATAAACATTAATTATACAAAATCATCAAAGTCCATGTTTAAAGGTACCTCCCATCTTTCCAAGTTTAGCTTGCATGTTTATGTTTTTGTATTATAAGGTTACTGGCTACCTTCAAAAAGATCAGAGATATTAAATGATCAGAGATATTAAATGATCGGCCAAATGAAAAGATATAATGCTAGCTGGTGGCCCCACCAAACCAAATAAAACTGTTAGTCTCAAATAAAATGAAGAATTAGGGATTAAACATAATAACACAGTCTGTTAAAACAGGTGTATGTATTTTTCTAACGTCTACAGAGAGAATGTAATACTACCATTTACTTTTTATTATAAGAAAGAAAAAAAAATCCTGCTTCACCAGAGTTAAAAGTACTTTAGCAGAAACGAACTCATTTAATTTCACTGACTCCCTGGGAAGAAATTTGGAGAACGTATTAACTTCATGTTATATATAAGATATTGTCCAGAGAGTTGACAGTATCAATATATCATCATGGCTCATGATGAAGCTACATCTGTCCACTGGACAACATACTGGATTTATAAACACAGTCTGATTTAAAATAATTTTCAGATGAAAAAAAAATCACATCATCATCTTCCAAAATATTTCTCCACTGAAACAGTTTGGAAGAACAGATTATAAGAACAAAGGAGGAAAGCAAAGAGGAAAATCTGGATAATTTCATGTTCAAATTATCTTGTTTCTTCACATGAATACATAGAGGATCAGAGGGTAAAAAAAAAAAAAATGGAATGATTCTTTTCTCATCTTTATATAATCTGCAATAGTAACTATTTTTTCCCCCCACAAGATAAATTTTAAATTACTGCAGAAAGAAGAAAAATACAAAAGATGAGAACCACTGCTGAAATTCCCACACAGTCCCCAAGGGGGGAAGTCGAAGTAACCAGCAAACCTCTCCTTGGAGAAGTTTTTAACTGTTAATATGGTTAATCCATTTGGAACACCTTGTTCTAAAGCAGAGAGACAAAAGAGAGTTGCTGTAAAAATCTCCTACTTCATCTCCCAAGAAGACAACGGTGGATTAGGTGACCGGGGAGACTACTTGGAAACTTCCATGCTTGCGGTGTTTCTGAGTCATGTCTTTTAGTCAGGGACAAAGCTGACTGTGAACGATGTGGCTCATGCTTCAGTAATGTGTAGCTCTAGACAGATGGGCCATATGGAAACTATGAACTGGCTTCATAGACAGGGCCATGGTGAGCCAATGCAGCATTTTTATGTTTTCTGTTTCTGTTCAAGTGGTCTAGCAAACAATATAAGACATAGTATATTATGTGCCTTTGCTTAAATTCTGAGTAGTGATTATTTTTAACGCTAGAGATGTTTTTAAAAACAGGACTATCTTGCTTGCTTGCTTTGGAAAAACACAGTTTCATTTAACAAAAAAGGCCTGAAATATTTTGCATTTTAAATATACTCCACTTCTTCCCCCAAGGTTCTGGTTTGCTTTGATGCATCAATAAAATCATGGTCCAAAAGTCGGGGTGGGGGGAGTAATCAAAATCATAAGATGTCAAAGATTTTCTCTCCAACAAGATCCAGTAATAATTTATAACACTTTTCTAAAAGATTCTAATTACAAAAAAAAAAAAAAATTCAATTTTCTGAGAAACACCAGGCAAGCAGGATCCACTAGACAATTATCTTGGGGTATGCGGAGTGTTCATTCGTGATTTGCTACTTTAATAATTATTACAAGACTAACAAACATTTTGCTTCAAGATTAAAAATATATAGCAAGTATTTTTTTTCTGAGATTGCACTTAAAAGATTTAATAAAAAATGGTATGAGTGAAAAAAGATCACAGTTGTTGGCACAAAACCAAAATGGAACAAATGAACAGGACTTAGGCAATTGCATGTTTTGTTTAGGACGTGGGAGGGCTACAGAATAGCTGAAATTAATATGTAGAAAATAACCGCCCTGGTTCCTTAGAGGTATGCAGAAACTATCATATGTACTCACTCAGCTTGTAAATCTTTGCAAAGGCTATGATGAAAAATGATCATATTTCATTATTATAATTAAAATATAGCGGTCTCAGATGCTTTCTGCAGAAACAAAAATATGAGACATAGATAATATGGGTATGATTGTTTTAAAAGGGGAAGTTTTTAAGAAATTATCATTGAAGTGTTTTTTTCAAGGAGATTTATTCAAACACAATTACATTGTAAGCCTAAGATTAAGAAAGAATAACCAGGTTTCCTCATATAATAAATGAACCTCTTATATTACAGATTATGATACTCAGGTTCTATTATTTTCTGTTTTGATCAGAGAAAAGCTTGTGAGAAACCATAAAATGGTATGTCTCAATTTGCTTTGATAAATATGGGGGAGTCATATTCACAGGAAGTCTGCAGAACCAAACATTAAAAGTGACAGATTTTATTCTGCTATAGACATATAGGTTTGAATATTTTAGTGATCAAAAAGTGAATATATAAGATTAATTTTTAGGCAATAAACATTCATATGACATAATTCAGTCTGAATCATTTTTATCTACACATTCTTTCATCTTTATCTTGCTTTAAAATTTTTATAAGAATTTTCCCTATATTTTCACTTTGGCTTACAACTATTACCTATCTACATGAAAGCTGTCAGTGAGATTAGAATTCTACTTTTCTGCTCCAAGTATTTGATTCACTCTAACAGACTATATTTAACTTTTATAAATTATCTTCATTGGTAAAATCAGCTGCACGACCACCAACACTTGTCTTTTCTTGGCACTGTATCTACTCTTTTAAAAGTTAAAGGGCAAGAAAGGCAGGTCTACTATTCACAGTCATGGGTTAGTTCCACGAGACACACTACAAAGAAGCTCGATCTACCATAGCTCAGGGAGCAATGAAACATTTCCTACAAAATGGCATTTTTTAGATTGGTGTTATATTTTTAAAACATGTCTTTTTAAATGCACTTCATTTCTTATGAGTATAATTAAGGTTTTCTTAGAACTGGCACATAAATATTTGTATTCTTATTTATATAATGTAACATGGAAATGGCCTTGTTAACTATTTCTTGTGTCTTTTTCATTTTGCTAATTGCTCTTTTTATTAGCTCAGCTGCCTAACAGACTTGCTTTTCCTCATCAAGATTTAAGTCACATGCTAATATTCTAGAGCAGAAGACAATTTTTATGACAAAATGGGTTTTCTTCCTTTAGGACAAACATATGAGATATGCTTTGTTCTACTTTAGAACAATGTATTCCTATTGCATGCTTATGGACAATTGTATGCAATTGTGGACTGTCTGGAAAATTTGCAACATGTTCTATACTACACTTTTAAAGGCATTCTCTTAATTTAATTTAATTAATTTATTTATTTAGATTTTTGAGCCAGAGTCTCACTTTGTTGCCTGGGCTAGAGTGCTATGGCGTCAGCCTAGCTCACAGCAACCTCAAACTCCTGGGCTCAAGAGATCCTTCTGCCTCAGCCTCCCGAGTAGCTGGGACTACAGGCATGCGCCACCATGCCCGGCTAATTTTTTCTGTTTATCTTTAGCTGTCCAATTAACTTCTTTCTATTTTTAGTAGAGACTGGGCCTTGCTCTTGCTCAGGCTGGTCTCAAACTCCTAAGCTCAAAGGATCCACCGCCTCGGCCTCCCAGAGTGCTAGGATTATAGGCGTGAGCCACTGTGCCAGGCTGTAAAGGCATTCTCTTTAAAATACCTTGTTTTGGGGGACACAGCTATTGGTGAAGAGCAAAATAAAAACATATTTTTCATTGTTTCAATAGGACATTAAATATGTTTTTACCCACATGAAATTGTGGGTCCATGTATCACATATAGAATAAATATCAATAGTAGACTTAAAATGCATGACCCAGTGAACATGTGCTTTTTAATGATCCCTGTTAACTACAAGGTTTAAATATTTAATGTACTGATAATACTACTATCTTATGCTGTCTGTCGAGAGAGAATAAATTTGAGAATAAATTTCTTAATAGTGCATCAACTCCTTCAGGTTATCAGAAAGAAAGTGCTATTCTAGAGATATCTATAGACAACAACAGTTCATGAAAAAACACTGCCTTCTACACACAATGGTGCCACACACACAAAATGCATTTCCAAATACATGCAATTTGCTTTTTTTCCCACTAGCAATATCAACCTAAGGTCCACGATAAAAAACAGTTATGAGACAATAAGATAAACCCAGTGTAACAGATATATGTCAGTAAAGAATCTTCTCCCTTTTCTTCTTTTAGTTGTCTTATTCATTTTGCAGATGATCACTGGGGTGAGAAAGGAACATTATCTTATAGCCTAATTCATATACTGGATAAGAAGTAAGTATCAAAAGTTACAGGCCTCTATGATATTTGCGCATCTCTTCTGAGTAACAATGAGGAAAACCACGAGGAAAGCAACAGTATAAATATAACAGCCAAAAAGAAAAAAAAAAAAAAAAAAAGAAACCAACAACAAAAATCTGAAAACCCACACACATTGAAAAAAGCAAAAAAACAATTCCAGATATAACAGAGGAGATGATGACAAATGATGTGAATGTTTCAAAACACTCTACAAATAAAACAACATTATTCAACAGGAAGCAACAAAATTGCAAAAAGAGGCAATGATGTATCATGAGACATGGAATCATTTGAAAGAAGTAGTTAGAGACATAAGCCACACACAGGATTTCTTGTCTTACTTGCACAAGTATCTCGAGGGGTTTGAAAGGTCTTTCACCATGAAGCACTCGCCTCCGTTCACACAGAAAGTTTTCTCCTTCTCGGCACACTTTACAAGATGGCTCGTCCCAGTGGTTGATGTAGATGTAGCTGGATAGGAGAGAAAAAAAGGGGAAAAGTTACATTAATGTTTCCCCCTTCTAAGCAGCCTTCACTCTTACATTATCCCAAAAGGAAGAGTTCATATAAGGTACAGAGGACTTCACTAAACTGTCAGAATTGCTAAACAACAGCAAAGAAATTAAGTACTCTCTGGGTCTAATTAAATAGAGCAAAATTATAAAAGAGGTGATTATAGAGTTAATTTTATTATAATGAAGAAGGAAAAGGAGATCAATATTTTTTTCCTAACCAATATCTTATCTTCTAAGATAGCTGGAAAAGAGAAGTTTTGTTGTCTGTCATTAAGTAAAATACTTTTTACAGGAAGGCTCAAAGGTAAACAATACAAAGTCATGTTAACATAGATCAATTTAGGTATCAATTTTTTAATGACAACTAATTGGCATTATTTATTTTAGAAATTATGCTTTATACATATATTGATTTTAAATTTTTTAGATACAATGTGTGTAGTGAAGAAAAACACAAGGTGGCTTATTTGTTTCAAAAGAAAAAAACATTATTAATTGAATATTAACATTGAATTATGTTAACTGAATATTCAATTAATTGAATATTAACATCTGTATATTAACATACAGATCTGAAGCTATTCTCTTCAAAATTTTTATTCTACTCTCATTTTTCAGAGGAACATTGTCCAACATCCAACTGCTATCATGCTTTCAAGGAAGTAGAAAGGCAGTTTAATATTGCTGCAAATGTAGAATAAAGCACTACAAAATACACCCATTTTGAATTAAGAGTAGAGAGAAGTCTTAAGTTTGTTTACAACAACTTGATGCGATGGGCTTGATATTTGTTCATCAAACTTCCTATGTGGAGGTGACACTGAAAATGATGCCCACACCATTGGGTGTGTGAATTAAATGAAGCCAAAGCTCTCAGTTTTGAGGCTTCAGGGGCATTTAGTAGCAGAACCTCTGCCTACCTACAGTATTGGGAACACTGTGGGCAATGCCTGTCTCAACCAAAAAAAAGTCCAATTTACATAATATTTATCACTCTCAGGAGGAAAAGCAAAACCAATATATCGAGCTGGTATAGGTTCTATTTACTCTTTCAGGAAAAAAAAAGTCTATCTTCAGACAAAAGCTTTTTCTTGTCTACTGCTACATTCTTACAGATTTTTAATTCCTTGCCTTCTTTATCAATTTCTATTTTATTGTTTGCATGGGAGTTTCAGATGCCCTTGTTTGCTTTTGTTTGACCTGTCATGTATTATTTTTCTCTTTTCTTCTGCCTTTCCATTTCTTTCAAAAGGCTATATTTGCACAGATAACCTAATTTTGACTCTTATTCTGCTTGATTTTTACTCTATCTGAACGAATATTCAACATCTGATTATTCCATTTCTGAATTACTTGTGGCCTTTCTTGTTTCTTATTCTCCTGTCTAAGGCATGTTTTTGGACCATTTTCACCGATCTCAGCATGCCTCTTAGGAGTAACAGCAAAAGACAGTCAAAGAGACTTGGACTTGGGAGACAGATCTGGCTCATGTCCCACCTCCTACCAGCTGTGTGTCCTTGAGCAAGTCACTTAATCACCTAGAAGCTCGATTTTTCCATTTAGAAAACAGGAGTAATGGCACTTTTACAGGATTTTGTAGAGATTATAAATAATCTGGGTAAAGGAATTGGCACGAAACAGGCATTCAACTTCGTTGAATAACAGCAAGTCCCAATGGGTGAACAGGGAAAAGTCTTAATTTGGGGATTTATCAGTCAGATAAAAGGCGTGACAGTGGAAATCCAGGATTTCAAAGATGCGTGCTATTCTTGAATCATTACTGGGATAATTAAGAATTAGCCCATTTTTTAAATTATTATTCTAACAAAAGGCCCTTTTCAAAATGCATTTCAAAGTATATTTCTTGGGCCTACGAACCAACTAAATGAAAGGAGCAAGGGAGAATGAATGAGAGGTGATTTTTTACTCTCAACTATCAGCTATACTTTAACATCTTTATCCAGAAGAGGGGAAGGTTAATTTGCATTGTTTGATCTGTAAAAATCACAGAGTAGACGGCACTTCTCTGTATCACACGGCATATAATTTTGACATGATATATCTTCATGTGAAAAACTGCTTGCTTAGGTGCTATGTATTACTATTTTCATCCATGGCAATTGCTTTTTAAAAATATTGGAAAAAAGTCTGCCTGAAATGTTCAAGGTTTTGTCTTTAAGGCTTTCAACTGCTGACAGGATTCCGTGGGATGACAAATTGGGCAGAGTACCCTTCCCGCCCCAGGCGACAGTACTGACCGGGCCACCTGCAGGGCGCTGTCACCATTCACTCTGGCTGAGGGACCTAGTGGGTCTGAGTCTCTGACAGGTTGCTAAGGATTTTCCCTTCACCCAACCTGAACAGCAAACACTGTACACAGCCTCTCTTAGGACAAACGCTGAGGCTTTTTACTAAAAACAACAACCACCAGTATCTCCCCCACCCACCCCCAAATGCAGACACTCCACATAAATTATAAACTAATAATAAAAATTAGCAGTGATATGAACAAGACCGAAACATCCCTCTTATCCATCCCTTAGACATTCTGACTTTGTGAGATTATCAAAATGAGATTAGTTAATACATGTTAAAACTAGAAACAGCATTTTTGTTAGCCCTGAAAAACATATTTCTCCCTGAAATGGTTATCATGCTAATGCTTTCTTGAGGCGCTCAACTCTGACACGTTCATTTTAAAAATCATTAGATCATTACTTGAAACAAGTAATGGGATATTTGATAGTAAAATAATTCTTGGGAAACGAAGTCACAAATAGCTCATCCAGTCGTGGACTATTGTGCTTATTAGCACTTTTCTCCTTAGCAGCAGGGAGATCAAAAAATGATCATGAATTCTAAAGCAGCAATTAATTCCCAGGTGATGCAAAGTGTCAAGTGACTGGATACAGATGCTCTGAACCAACAGCCAAACACAGGAATAAGAGGTTCTTGTCAGAAGGACCTAGAATGGAGACAGTACTATATACACTCTACAGATTGTTGCCAGGTTGCCCTTTTCTCTCCTTAGTTGAACACGGTGCACAGTAGGTCCTAAGCAGGCCTATAAATTTTGCAGTGATATCCTTCCTCTTTGGCTTACAAATACTGTATCCCTAAATCAGTTTCCATTTGGTAATCCAACCAGAAAATAATGAAACAGACAAAGCTGGTTCTACACCAAACTATGCAAACCACCTCTTTCTGGGGGAGCTGGGAGGAGTTTTCTTAGAGGCAAAAGCTGATGATTTTGCAGATAGAATATGTTTCAATATGTCAAAGATTGCTCCTAGCAGTTGTTCCAGGAAAGAGGTGAGGCAGATCTCACTCATTCAGCGCTTCATAAACCCTGTCTTACTCTGCTTTGTGATGCGTTTCACAATTTGGGAGTTATTGTCTAGTAATTGCTGAAATGAACAGCAATTAGAAACACTGCAAAATATGACACCATCATTTTTATGTTTGCCATTTTCATGAACACTTCATCCCAAACACACTTTCCTTGGCATGTGAGCAGCTACACGATTATAAGGAAGAAAGAATAAATAAGGCAGAAACCTATTACCAGAGAATGGACTTTGAAGTGTTTTAATCTAGACCTGGTCTAAGGCAGACACTTCAAAGAGTTTTGGCAAAAAAAAAAAAAAAAAAAGAGTCAGAACTAATGATCATCTCCAGGAAGGCTGCATAGTTCTCCCACATAGTAGAGAATAAGGGGCCCCCAAAATCCTTTACCACACAATAAAACTGCCCCCACACTTCCTTCCTCCCTTCCTTCCTTCCCTTCTTTCCTTTCTTTCCTCCCTCTTTCTCTCCTTCCTTCCCTCCCTCTTTCTCTCCTTCCTTCCACAATTCTTTAATAACTGGTTATTATGTGCAAGACAGAAACAACAACTAAAGTTACTGTAGTTAAAAACTGTAAGAACATGACCAACTCCCGCTATAAAAGGAAACCTTTATAGATAAAATGTACTAAAATGAACATTGAAATTAGATGAGAAGAGTCAGGTCCAAGGATCAGTTTTGCCAATTATCCTGCCTACCCCCCTGCAAACCTGAGGTACCACAGGGTTGCTGCACAGTTTGTAAAAATACTTTGTCTATTGTAACACTGTACACAAATGTATGATACCATTACTATTATTAATGGCATAAAAATGGAACAAAGGAAAGCAAAAAACTTTCTGTCCAGACTCTGCAATCATATTTAATCAACACTCAAGTGTTGTTTCTTAGGAAATTATTGTTCTGCACAATGTGGAGAGAGAGGGCCTCATTTGCAGGGGAACCATTAGATGATTGTAAATCATCAAGTAAATATCAGTAATGTATTTTCACTTTATCATAAATGCTTGCCAATAATTTATAACCACTAAATTTGCTTATAAAATAAAACTGAAGACCAACTTGAGTTAAATAATATCATACATGCATGATTATTTCCTACTTTCAAGATCTATACAATTCCTTAATATCTCTGAACTTCCAAGTTACATGAATTAAACGTCCTTAGAATATTATGTGTTATTGTAACAGTTTAAAAACTATGAAATATTTTTAAATGGTATGATGTCCATAAGATATGGAACATAATATAAACTTTGTAATTTAACCTTTTAGAAATCATACTATTGCACACTTTTTAAATATACAGAATAAAAAATTGAGAAACAATTAAGTGTTCTCTGCTCACTGCTAAATAGTTTCCCATGGAATCACACAACATTTCCTGCAGAGTGCCAGCTTTTCTGCTCAAGAGACGCTAAAAAGAAAATAATGCTGAGGAGGATGGCTTGCTTCCTTGCTTGTTTTAAGTGGTGTTTTCCTTATCATTCAGTGGACAGGCACCAGTAGACCAAGACCATTACACAAATGCAAGATAAGAAGTCACTCTATTCTTCTTTGACAATTAGCAGGAATTAGCATGAGTATACAATGTATATGCCCCACAGAGCA